ACGGTAAATAATCACACTTGGGTGTTACAATACACTGAATACTTTTCATTTACTGATCACATGACATGTATTTACTAAACAAGCCAAACTCATATTTAGCCAACAACCTCAACAATGGCTTGGTTATTCCGACGAATCTAATTACTGTATGCATATGTATATACATACATATATATATGTGTATATATGCAGAGACATATTTCGAATAGCTTGTTATTGTTTATTCACGCCCAGTCTTTTGTTTGTAACTACGTTCAATGTATCCATATGTAACCAATGCCAATTTCTGGATAAACATGCCTCAAACACATTCAGGATAGAAAGTAATAAATTCAGAATTCCAATAGTAGGATAACATGAGAACTGATTATAAGAATCATTCTAACAATAATGACAATAATAGTGAGGATCACATAAATGATAATGCAAACAAATACAATTGGTTCACTGTATCACTTCACAGGAATGTTGATCAATATTCAATGAACCATACAAATGATTCGATTGATAAACTAGGTAGACAGTTTACACAACTAGCTGAAGACTCAATGAAAACTCATGTAGATAATGAATTCACTAAACATGATCATATCAAACAATTGATTCTGAGTAGACAGTCAACAATGAACATTGATAACTCTCAGAATCCATTAAAAGCTGCCATATTATCAACCCATACAGCATCTATGAATTCTATGGTGCCAGTAATAGATAAAAGACAGAAGAAGTCAATACATGCATTGAACAATACAAATCCAATAATAGATGAATGGAAGAGAAGAAAATCCCATCAAGGAAACTATCTCACTATGAATTGTAACAATGACAAACAATTAGATTCCATAAAATCAGTTAAGACAACATCTATGGATAGTGTATCGCCTACTAATAATGTGATCAAAGATGTCACAACAATTCACCGTTCATCATTACAACTATTGAATCATCTTTCTGAGCCAAATATCATTGAACATGTAGAGCTGTTCAACAATTCATCACACTCGTTAACATCAGTTTTACCAACATCTCATCTATTGTCAACTTCATTGAATTCTTTATCGAAATCAATAAGGAAAGAGGAGAATATTGACACATTCAATAGTGAAATGACCAGTGATTTATTCACCAGTATGATACATTCCAAGAATCAACCACAATCATTTCAATTGAAGAATCAAACTGAAAAGTTGGATGATGGTTTAAAACAGAATCATAATAATACTAATAATAATAATATCAGTAACAAGTATACATCAGTTGAGGATAGAATAACCGATTCCAAATCCAAAGGACTTGGTCTCTATTGTATATTGAATACAATTGGTTTAGGTAATTTTTCACAAGTGAAATTAGCTACTCATATTTTAACAAAAGGTAATTGAATACATTTTGCATTGAGTATTGATATCAACTTGTTAATATGCATAGATAAACACATTGTGACTGGATGTGTTCCGCTTAGAAGTTACCATATTAAGGTCCAACTACCATCGAAGGATACCTGTTTTTTAAACAGTTATCTGTTTTCGGTTTGTGATGTTTTCAGTTTTCAATGTTGGTGACATTTGGCTGAATGTTGTATATTTATCCTTGTAGATTGTTTCCTAGAGAAAATCCAGCTTCCCTTTGAAACTTTACACTGATAAAGCTGAAAACACTTATCCGAATAGGGTTTCGAAAAACACACGCTACATACACTCGGGTTTTCAGCATCCGAAGTAAGATATGGGCCAGCTACCTGGTAGATATACACAGGGTGGAGTATAGAACCTACAAAATCTCTTTGTCAAAGAATTTGAATGCTTGAAGAAAGGATCACAACGTTCGAAAAACTTTAGCTGCTTCTACATTGCAATGTCCAGTTACTTATAAGTCATAACTTACTGTTATTGTCAAATCCTTTTGCTCCTTCAATTATGAGAGCGACGTACCGTTTATAGTATATTGGTATCTACTGATGTGTACAATGTGGACTAGCACTAATAAACTTACGTACGCCTGTTACACCTCATGAAGAGATAAGCCACTCACCGGCATTCTCTAACAAACTCTGTCTCAGGCAATCCTTCAATTTATTTCCAGTTGCCATTTATTATTTTGATGTATGCTTCCGATTCCGCAATACGTTCCTAGGTTTTCCAACTTTCCTATCCCTTCATCACTCCAAATTATGGATTGACTCGTAATATAGTTTCATGATTTCCGTAATGCACAGCCTATCTACCTCCAACGTATTTTCCTCATTTCCTCCTCAGATCGAAGCTGCTTTGTTCTCTCTCACAGTAGGTTGTTTCTGTTGATTTCTAGCCAATGAATATTTTGTACCCTGAGTAGAAAAACATTTATAAATACTTGTATCATGTTGATGATGGTTGTGGTAGTACTCCAGGTTTCAGCTCCGTACAGTAGAACTAACTGACTTAACGTTCGTATTGAAGATTCTGATTTTGACATTAGTTGACAGTTGTTTTCAGTACTATATGTTCTTCAACGTTGATAATGCCGTCCTTGCAGATCCTCGCCTTTACATCTGCATCCCATCTTCCTTGTCCACCAATGATACTACCCGGATATGTGAAAGTTCCCACCACTGTCACAGCCTCTCCATCAACTGTGATGAGGTTGGAGCACTCTGTGGATTATTTCATGATCTCATATTATCCTTTCTTTATGGCGAGGCCTATTGACACAGACAGAGGCTGTTACTATACTGGCTGTCTTGAGACACATATGTTCGTGTGTATGAGATAGAAGACCTGGACCATCTGCCGATTTCAAAGCGTCTAGTTGCATCAAACCTCTCCATTGTATTCCGGGATTCCACTCGGATGTCGAGATTTGATAATCCAGTAGTCCACCAGAAGAGATAAAGGGGGGAGTGATCAGCCTTTTCCAACTACGGTCCTCATTTGGAATGCATGTATCAGCTGTACTCTACTCAGCACTGACTTAACGTTCGTATTGAACATTCTGATTTTGACATTAGTTGACAGTTGTTTTCAGTACTATATGTTCTTCAACGTTGATAATGCCGTCCTTGCAGATCCTCGCCTTTACATCGCATGAATTCTGTGTGATATTGACGATCTCCTCACCTACTCAATCCATAATGTCAAACACAGTTCCATAATGTTCTCCTATCCACGCTGACATATACTTTCTCATAGTCAGGGATGTTGATGCATAGTGACTGTTTCTATGCAACCAATTGTTCAATGATAATCCGTATTGTCAAGATTCGGTCTGTGCATGAACCACTCTTATGGAATCTGGTCTAAAAATCTCGAAGCTGGACATAACCTGAACCTTTCATCTGGTTCAACAACACTCCATTGACAACGTTTCCTGGTACTGACAGTAGTGTGATTCCTCTGTAGTTCTCTTTTTGCTCAAATGTCCTTTCTTCTGTATCATGATGAGGTAACCTTCTTGCCAGTCTGCCTATGACATTTGTTCTTCTTCACAAGTATTCCTGAATAGAATGTGAACCAGTTATTTCTATTTCTGACCTCAGTGCTTCTGATGATGTGCTGTCCGCTCTTCCTGTGGTGTTTGTATGTATTAATGAATCCGCAGTACCTGATGAATTCCTGATTTCGAATTCCGAATTCAATACATTATTTTGAGCTCATCTAATACATCTTGGTTAAATTGTGTTATTTCTGAGATTCCTGGCTTGTACCATAATTCAAATGCTTCTTATTATCACATCAGCGTCACCATGTTGCTTGTGATGGAACAATTGAACATACATTCAGATTTTGATACTTTCGAAGATTGACTTTGTGAATGAATCAACGCTGCGAATAGTATTCTCTAGCCGATCATTGTTCACTAATAATCCTAAAGATACATTATCGCGTCTGGCCGACTCGGTGTGCATTTACCAATTTACTTGCTCATGTGGAGCTAGGTATATAGGTCGTTCGATGAGTACTATATCTAAAAAAATTCAACACACATTATCCGGCATGGCCAAGAAGGGGAGGAAATGGTTCAATAAGAAGTTCAATAATCAAACACCTTGTGAACACAGACGTCGCTCAATCAACACAGATTCAACGTTCATAGTCATCTACAAGTTGAGTAGAAGTCTTCCAAAGACAATTAGATTGCATCTTCGTTGCATTGACGAAGCAATAGCCATACATTTGAGGAAATCAGAATTGTATATGCAAAAGTGACTGGTACAATTTCTTCTTCTACCATGATATTAATGTCTTATAATTTATTCTTCGCAATCTTCATACTTTTCTTCCTTTACAACCATCTGTTTCACCTTCTATCTTCTAACACCAACTGGTTTATCTCTCCTTTCACCATACTCTATTCTACAATACTCTGTTTCTACTCATCATGTCTAACAGAAGTTTATTATCGTCCAGCCTGAAATCCCTCCGGGGGCTACTGCCGGTCCCAAACCCGGCTAAGGGAGGAGGGTTGAGCATCGGGTTAGCAACCCCATCCTGTAGAACACTAACTCGCTAAAATAAACGCTAACCAGAAAAAATATTCATTTGCGATTGTACAACATTGAAAATGAATCCGCTGAAATGAGAACTCTTCACTGAACAAATCTTCCTTACAATTTAATTTGTTGATGCTACTTATAACTAAATTGTATGACCGATTCTTTCTATTTCAGTAGTTTATTCACACTCTTATTTACCTCATATAATGATGAATGGCCTATGTTCGAATATCTAGGGCATTAGTTTAGGTTAGTAAATGATAAACTAATGATCAGATGTTACTAGTAACGTTCATCCTGGACAATACTCTATGGTCACGAATTGTGTATTGTAAGTTCAGTCCACTGCCTGTTAATTATTATTATTCTTATGATGATAATGATGATGATGATGATCAATAAACATTCCTCATTTGATCTGGTCTGATTTATCCCTTAAACTCTGTTATTTCAATCGAACCGTATTTACTATAGTACTCAAATAAGGTCAGTTGTTAAACGTGACTTCTATAGCGAACTGTTGTAGATATACGTATAATGACATAAGAATTGTAACCTTTGACCTATAAAAGTTAATCAATAAATCAACAAAGATCATTCATTCATTCATTGATTCATTGATGGAATTTAATTAAATCGATTATGATCACCAAGGGATCGATCGTTAAACAAACAAACAAAAATGTTTTCTCTTGGTTACACGACCAGCATTCATAATCTTATACTCTAAGCAGTTACACAAGATACTGTTGTATGATCATGCCAGTAGTACTAAGACAAAAGTATTCAAACTTATTTAACAATTGATTACCACCCAATGATTATTCAATTCTGAATACATCTCGATCCTACAGGAGGTCAGTCGCGAACCAGATAGCTAAGTGACATGGGATCAAATCCATCAGGGAGTATCAGATCTCTCAAGATTACATGTATACCTTGCTAATGAATACCAAATAGCACGAAAGCTGGGTTCAAGGTTTCCTGTTGACCACCTGTAATCACCATTTCATCTCAACATAGTGCACACAATGTCAACTCACCTAGAATAATAGTTACGTCGCAACTTAGTCAGTAGAATTCGATCTGCACTAAGAACGACTTGAATCACATGACATCAATTATAAATTAATTGTAATCTTATAGGCAGAACAATGGCAATTTACCTCACTAGTTGAAATCATGAGCCAGTTGAAGCTAGATCGCCATGGAAAACCTGGAAGCACTGGACAGCCGTTTCGTCTTACTATAGGACTCCTCAGCAGTGCGCAGCCACGATTCCGCACCCCCTCCGAGAGTTTCGAACCCACAAACGTTCAGGCAATTTACTTGTTAAACATTTGAATGTTTCTCTACTGAACTACACATTCGAATCCTTAGCATTTTACTTTTATTTAGTCAATAGAACCACATTAATGAGTAAGGGATAGATCCGAAATAATGAGATAATAACTTTACGATATCTGCATTTGTGAAATGAACCACACATTTAGAAAAAGAGTAATTCTGCAGATTTTCTAACTTGATTGAGAAAGGTTGATTTCATTTGAAGTATCACCTGTTCAGATTTATTATAATCCAAGTAATTTGGCCCCAAATGCCCTGGTACGACCGACAGTGGAGAGAGTCATTTCTCTCACTCTCTCTCCAAATGCTCTCACCAGGTCAAGTGCATACAACTACCGCCAGGAAATGTTTACTCACTGTCTTCTCACGGCATAACTACTGTGGTTCACAAAATTGAGAGGAGGAAATTCTAATGTCTGGCTCTTTAAGCACATTGATGGATACTGTGGTTCCACCAAATGAATTTGAGAAACCGCACCTCTAAATCAATAAAGGACATAGAATTTAGGATCCAGAAGGAGTAATAAACGTATGAACCAATCGTTGGTCACCGACT